AACATTTTTTAACGGTAGATATAAAAAGATGAAAAGGTATATGCAAACGCACAACACTACAAACTATTTTTTAGAATTATGAAAAAAAATTTATAAATGAAAAGACCAAAATATTATGAGAATGTGAAGCAACCATATAATAAATTAACAACAATAAACGAGTTTTTTTAAAAACGACACAACTATATGATTAATTAATAACTATAAAACCGTGTTCTCGAATAGAGGCAACCGGATAAGATCCATTAATAACTATTAAAACGTTTTTTTTTCAAAAATATGCAACACTAAAATGCATTAGTAACCATAAAATGGTTTATTCTCGAAAAGATATAACCATATAATGCATTATATTTATAAAACGGGGTTTTTAAAAAGATACAATTTTATGATGTATTAATAACCATAAAATGGTTTTTACAAAGAGATGCAACCATATGAAACAAAATTATAATAAAACAGTTTTTTTGAAAAGATGTAGTTTTACATAGACCAATATTTTCAAAAGACACAATCCAACGATGCATTAATAACTATTAAACGAAATTTTTGAAAAGATGCAATTCTAAGATGAATTAATAACAACAAAAAATATAACTATTAAAAAAAATACAACTTTAGAATGCATTAATAACCATAAGATAATTTTTTGAAAAGAAACAACCCTAATAGACATTAATAACTAAAAATGATATTCTCGAAAAAACACAAACCTAAGAGACACTAATAACCTTAAAATAATTTTTTTTAGAAGACGAACCCCTAGCATTAATAACCTAGAATGTAAACTATCAAAAAAAAATTTCGAGAAGATACATCTTTAAATAAACCAATTTTTTTCTAAAAAAACGCAACCCTAGGATGCTTTAAAAACCATAAAACCAAATTTCTCAAAAAAACGCAATCTTAGGATATATTAATAACCACAAAATGGTTTTTACTAAGAAGACGCAATCAAATCATATATTAATAACTATAAAACGGTTTCTTTAGAAAGTCACAATTCTCAAAGACATTGCTAACCATAGAATAATCTAAAAGACGCAACTCTTAGAGATTAATAACCAAAATTTTTTTTTTTCAAAAACCCAATCCTAAGAAATATTAATGACCAGAAAACAAATTTTTTTAAAAGACGCAACCTAAGAGACATTAATAACCATAAATTTTTTTTTTAAAAAATGTGTAAGCCTAAAAGACACTAATAACCATAAAACATTTTTTTGGAAAGACACAATCCTAGTGTTAATAACCATAAAACGGTTATTTTCTAAAGGAAACAACCCTAAAATATATTTCTCAGGATTGTTATTATTGATAGACGTGATCCTTCGAAAAAATTTTAGAATTATTATTTAAATAAAGAAACAAAATATTATGAGACTCTAAAATAATTTTTGACATTTTTTGTCACATCATGTTTTGAGTGAATTTTAAAATTAGTAATCATAAATGAAAAAACGTTCAATGAAACAAATATATAGAGTTTGAAAAACACAAATCTATATAGCAGTATTTTTTGAAAAGATGCAGCCATAGAGATTAAAAACCAGAAAACGTTTTTTTCGAAATGGTGCAATCCTAAAAGACACTAATAACCGTAAATAGAATATCTTGAAAAGATGCATCCTAGCATTAAAAAACCATAAATATATGTCAAACGTTCTTTTTCCGAAAAAATGCAACCCTTGAAAATAACCATAAAGTGGTTATACTGAAACTACGCAATTTTTGGATATCGGTTTCTTTTGAAAGGACACAACCACAAAACAGTTATATTGAAAATTTGCAGCCCTTGGAAATAATGATAAAGTGGTTATATTGAAAAAGGTAATCTTTGAAAATAACAATAAAAATATTATTTTCGAAAAAACACAACCATAAAGCGGTTATCTACATATTAAATGCAACATTTGAAAATAATTAGAAAGCGATTATATCAAAAAGTGGCAACTCTTGGAAATAACCATAAAACGGTTTTTTCCTAAATGACACAATATTAAATAACCGTAAAACGGTTATATTAAAAAAAGGCAGCTTTTGAAAAAAAATTATATAAAAAAAAAGACAACTCTTAGAAATAATTGTAAAGCGGTTATATTGAATAAACAGAATCTTTCAAAATAACCAATCAACGATTTTTTCCGAAAAGACGCAATTTTTGGAAATAACTATAAAGCGGTTATTTTCGAAAGAACACAACCATAGAGCGGTTATCTATATAGTAGATGTAATTTTTGGAAATAACCATTACACGATTTTATCGAAAAATACAACTCTTAAAAAACGGTTATATAAAAAAGACGCAACCCTTGGAAATAACCATTAAACGGTTATTTCCGAAAAGACACAACCTCCTATAACCATAAAGCGGTTTTATCGAAAATGCAACTCTTATAAAATTGGTTATATGGTAAAACGCAACCCTTGGCCCACAAAAAAAATGTTTTTGTTTTTTCACTCATTTCACGGATTTGAACCATAACTATTCGTCTAACCAATAGAACAATTCATGGATTTTTACGCC